CTTGAGCGGAAAGGAGTGCCGGTGGGTCGTGTAAACTGATTATCGTGTAGCCACGCATAGACAGCCTGTGGTCTTCACAATTTGGCGATGCGCAGTAGACACGCGCAGACTGAAATACGAAATTTGATTGAGTATCGATCGGTGAATGAATACTGACCAGTAACACCAGGAAGTGGAAAAGTGCTCCATCGGGCTGTCACGTGATAATCCGCCAATATATGTGTGAGCTGTCACACACCGCGCACTGTGAAATTGACGCGGCCTGCAGGAAGGCGATCGGCGATAACGGGGAAAAGGTCCGAAAACGACGTGAAAAAACGAAAGTTTCAAGTCGGAACTATGAGATGTATATCGTTCGATAGCATTTTGCATGGAGAATTTTTTCCGGAAATGGTGTTACACCACAGCCTTCCGTAGAATTCACTGGAGACCAAAAAATCGTGGTTTTTATTTCAGGCAATGACGCGAGACGCGAGGTTTGAGCCACACCAGGGAGGAAAAGCACTCACTCAAGCTTTCAAGTACTCATCTTTTTCCAACATACCAAGCTAAACTTGCCTTACGATTAGGCGAAGAGAGTTCGTCCCTTCCCTTAATAGAAGTTTCCTGTCAAAACATTCCCTTTCGAAAATTTGGGGAAATGTACACAAAGATGCGATCTAGTGGCTAGGTATTACTAGATGTTACTCCGAAAGTGAGGTTGTACACCCGTTTTGGACAGTTATTTTGTTATGGGCGATTCGGATGCGTTTACATCTCAGTCTTCTATGTTCAGTCGGAGAACCAAGAAAAATCTGATCATATCGCAAAGGGCATGACGAACGGGGGATGTTTGGGGTCACACTACCGAAAACGAAGGCTCACCTTGCCACCCAAAGCTTTCCATGTTACATTCAGTACAGACAATGTGACGCGGAGTCTACGCAGCTGAAGCGATATCGTCGCCTGCCTTCAAAGCTTTCTACACTAACATCTGCTCTAAACATGGAACATGTCACAAAAATGGGCGAGGTGATGGGTTTGCGGCCACACTACGAGGAATGAATGTCATATTCGTAATCAGGGCTTCGAATTACCCAGTAGCGCAAAGTTTCGAGGCACAAAATGAACTCATGGAGATTCTTGGGACATTAATACGCTGGGAATAGATTGCACAATGGCAACTAGGGCGCTAAAAAAAAAAAAAGTAGTGAAACGCGTGAAACAACAGAAGTTCAATCATGGCGACGGAGGAAATGCATAACACCATCGATAGCATTTTTCACCGCGGAATCCAATGTGCGAGCACATCTCAGGTCTGCGAGCTCATTCTTGGAAATTGTCAACAAATGGATACTTTCCACATGGCGCATGACGAGGAAGGCATTTTCACAAGCCACAGCACGGCGGTACGCGCATCGTTCTACGAGCAGGTTTTGTCATGCTTATTTGCCCACTGAAAGTAAGCGCTACTCACACACAGTAAAGGAGATGTTTCCGTCTGACCTCCTCAGTTGTTCGGAAAAACCTTTCGCGTCAAACATTTGGAAAATTTCACCAGATAGGCCTAACTGCTCCAGCAGAATTGATCTATGATTTCATTTTGAACACGGAGAGAGAGATGTATGAGGCAGGGACTACGTGTTTAAGTCATTATAACGCGCCGCGTTTGGACCTTAGGGCGACCAGTGAATCTTGAACAAAAGCAACTCAATCCATTTGACTAGCAATGGACGATGCACTGAATACGCGGCGCGTTCTGGGCAAATTGACTGAAACCATCCTCATCTGCAAGACATGACGAATCCAGATGAAGTGATAGCGGTGGATTACATGACGCACCACATTCAAACAGTTTCTCGAGCCATAAGCTTCGCAGTGCGGGCAAATGGCGCAATCTGAGGTAAGGCTTCCAAAAGTATAAAAGCATATTCTTATATAACTCGACGAGCTGAAATCAATGCTTTTTTCAGATTTCGAAAATCTTAATTCTGAAGCGAGTTATAACGAAAAAACGAAAAAGAAACGCGAATTTGCGTTTTTCGCGTATTTTTTTCGATTTTTTGCGGCGAGTACCGTAGTTTTCCACATGGTTAGACTCGCCACAGAGAGACGAGTCCAATGGTGTAGAGCACCAATCATTTGACCCGCTTTGGGGGGAGTTATGCAGGGGCGACGCTTTGCGACGCTGCAAATCCGTCGCTCAGCGGAGAAATTTCAAAAGTTAGTGGCGGTATTGTAGATACAGCGTGTCAGAGCTGATTGTCGGTTCAATTTGAGGGACTACGTTGTTTGGTCTCAATAAAGAAGACACTGTGCTCCATTACGCCGAAAAAAAGAAGAGAAAAATGAAAAGTTTAGGAAAAAAGTGAATTCGACCGCGTGCACTCGCGGTTACATAATTTTAGCCCACCCTGTGAGCATCACTCTTCGTTATGCTCTAAAAACAAAGTTAGGTTTTTTCTTGGTTCTTGACTTCAAACAAAATTACAAACACGAGATGTATGCTCTTTAATTCTCACTTGGAAATGCTATCCAATAATACACAATGTTGGACACAATGTTAGCTCCTATAAGTTACTAGTTTGCTCCGCCCGCTATCGCGCGCATCACACGGCAGGCTTCAACGCAACTGGAGGACCCATGGAATATCAGCATGATTTACACCATTAACCACCTCACCATTGAATGTGTTAGACCTTTCCTAGGTTCGCTGAAGTCCATCGAGAACACGCGTGATAACGTCTGGAGCTGAACTGCACATTTATCTCACAACTCTTAACATCCAGCATTCTTCTTGAATTCAGATATTTTGCGGTGAATAGGATTGCTGTCAATCTCAAAACTAAAACGAAATATGCCTATTTACATAAGCTAGAGAAGCTAAGGTTTACCATTTATTTACATTTACCATTATTTAGAACCCTGAAAGGACTAGCGGGAGTCGGGGCTTTCGTGATAGAAATGAAACTTATCATTTGCTGAAGATTTGATTGAATTTATGCAATCGACTGCTATTAAGTGAGCTGGTTATACAATGATACAATGTGCACGTACCACTATAAATAGAATTTGTAAGTAGGGACGCTCTAGTGTCAGCGCAAGCTACATAAAGGATTGACGATTTTTGCGTTCTGACGCGCCTTATCAGCCTTTATCAATTGTTATCACTTCTAATCACCCATCAACAATGTTCCCGTCTCACCCCTTATAACACTCGTAGGTATGGTTGCTTTGCTGTCAATGCGAGGCAGGTGACGAAATCGACGACTTGGATTTTAAAGCATCTTATCAGCTCTTATCAGTTGCTATCGCTTTTACTCATATACCAACAATGTCCTGGGACCACCCCACATAACACTTGTAAGTATAGACGCTCTGTTACCAATATGAACGGCAAAACGAATTTGACGATGCTTTCTAGCCCCTCTTATCAGATATTACCAGTCGCTATCAGTTCCTATCATATAACACTTGTGTTCCCATCCCACCCCCTATAACATATGTAAGAAGCATGGCGCTATCATTGCTGTGACCCGAGCTACGAATTTCCGGTCAGACAGACAAACACACACAGACACCACACGCACAACCGCTTAGCGCATTACATATAGTAGGAACGCATTATATATAGTAGGATCCCTCGCATTATATTAGCTCGTCTCATCCAAACATGCGGAAGATTCTTTTCGAATAAAATAATAAGCAGAAAAGATAAAAACCTGATATTCCAGTGTTAAATTAAGCAGATCTTATCGTTGTTGAAAACTCGAACCCTCCAGATTACACTGGACATCGAGCACCTTTTTTTCAACAGTTATAGACAAGATGCTCAATGTTGTGTATCGATGATAAACGAATATCGTAGCTCTTGCCTACGAGTCGTGCCTTTTTCAAACAAACCGGAGCTATTAGCTAAAACAGCTGAGTTGGCACGGCTGCAGTCGGGAAAACACTGCGGATTAGTACAGGCCACAACATCCGTTTGATCGAAAACCCCCTGAGCAATATGAGCCATGGGGGATCTCGCATCGACATAGCCTAATGTCATTATTGAAGTTGGGTATTGTCATTAATTACTCGTTGAGATAAGAAATAAGCAAACACTTGAGGAACGACAGAAGTTTTTCCAGGACAGAGCCACTAAGAGGCACATCCCGAAATCCATCGCCATAGCAATCATTCACGTTAACCCATTTGACTTATTATGATCTGTTTCGGGCTGCTTCTCATTGGCATTCATCCAAACCCGACGCTTGTGACCTTGTGCTCAGCGCAATTCCACCCAAACAATCAAACTGGATGCTGGTCGTTCATGACCAGCATCCAGTCTGATAGGGTTGTGACGTTAATCGCGGAGATGGTCATCGCTACAGACACCAATTCATTTCTGGATTCCTGCATCTGTGAGTAAATGAGGTAACCACAAACAGTTCTGTGGAATATTTGGGCACAATTTGGCTAACGGTTGCAGCTAGGCTGCATGTCGCGTCAGCAAACACCGCAGAGGTTCAACATCTGTGACTCGCCATTTGCCACCTCATTTCAATCATCGTTTCTTCGGCAGGGTAGGCAATATGAGCGCGTCCACAACCACAACTCGAATTCGTTCTCCCTTCTTTGAGCTCTCACACCTAATCTTCAACGCAGCTCTTCGAGAACACTGCATCAATCAACAACCAGAGGGCTTTGGCTCTGTTACCTTTTCCACCATTTCTCTAGTCTCCACATGTTTCAATGAGATGAACTAAGATATGCTCCTAAAAATTATTTTCAAACAGAAAGTGAGCCAAATACAGACGCTAATTTGTACATCACCACTGAACTCTCTACTTTTCAAAAAAAACATGTCCTGGTTATTGGAAAAAAGCCATCCCACATTTTTCCATTTTTCATTTGCCAGCTGTCCCATTTTTCGGGTCTCGGGCTGATGACATGATTTCTTCTTCATTCCTGCTCCACTAACCACCTCTACCTTTATTTCCAATAAGCTACCTTTCTATCGTGAAATCTGCCTTCAAAACAACGTTTGCTGAAAACATGTGCCATACCGCATAAAAATTGTTCGGCACCCTATTGAGTGCGCCATCAATACGACGATGCCTCAGCCAAATTCCAAATTGGAAGTCGTCTTCGGAAAGTTCTTCGTCCTCATCCTCTATATTAGATTCGCTCTCCTCCACTACCGTACGCTCATTAATACTTCTCGTTGACTTGCGCATCGACTGAAGTTCCAAGAATAAGTGCACATATGCGCTGTCCAATTACAAGCATACCTTTCTTTCCTCAATATGCCGTCTGAAACTTCCGATACCAGTACGAGTTTCCTTCGCGGCTTCGCAATCATCAACAAACCTGACAAAAAAAGATAATTAATAATTTGATTCAAAATCACTGACGCCGCCCCGACCCTATTGAGCCCGCCATCGTGGAACGAAGAGCGGCGCCAATGCTCCGTCCTTGGCTCTCAGCTCCTTAAACTTATTAGACCACCCCGTCGCTTTTGCATATGCTGCACGCTTGCGTCCCGCTGCATGCTTGAGCAGGAAAAGCAAAATTCGAGTAGAAATCCCGAACATTGCTCTTAACGTTTTCTAAAATGCGGTCGATCGTTTGTTGAAGTGAACCTTTTACATTGAATCACAATTATATTGAATCAAAATCTACTTGGAATTTGGTCATATCCCAGAATTCTAGTGAAATGATTTTTTCTTCCTGGATTCGCTCTGCCATTCAACTGTAATACACTTGTTGAGTGAAGCAAGTCTGCCTATGAAACATATCAAAAACTGAACTAGTTAGATTCAGCAGCAGAAAAAAGTTACAGTTGAAAGTATTTCACCGAAACTTTTTAGCTCTACTGCATGTTGGAAATAAGAACTCTAACAAAAACTTTCATTGTATGTGATGCGATGGAGTGCAACCCATTTTCCCTAGATATCAAACTCGACTGTCTGAACGACTACTGTATGGAGATGAAAGCTTAAAATCTGACCAAGTGCGTTCGTGTTGGAAAAGTTGGAGCGTTACGTCACGAAGCGTCTTCTGTCGCAACATATATAGTTTAGATACCTATAGGGAACCTACACGCTCAAGTTTCCAGCCCATTAGAGCAGTTTTCAATGTTTTTCCGCAATGTTTGTTCAACGAGCTGGTAGTGATAATAACGTTAATAAAGAGAATGAAGCGTATTCTTGCGGATCACATGTTCCCAGTGATACTGTTCGCATTTTTGCAGCACATATAAAGCAACACATTTGCGAAGTGCTCAGATAGATGTGAGTCATATGGCGCGATCTCATCGGCATTGGACCGTAGAGGGCGTAATTGCCACATCTAGCCGGACAACTCATCCGCGCATCACGTTCCGTTCCTTACTCTTGCCTTTGCATCAGGCCAGCAGAAGCTTCGCTCTTTTTTTATTTTTGAGACTCATCGAGGTTTTGGAGACCTAGATTATCAAATCGAGCAATTACAGAAGCATAATATTGGATTGTCTCATAATTGCTGTCCCAAGTTTAACACTTTTAATTATCCAACTTTTATCTCTTCTAGGAAACAACTGATCAATAACATAACCACCATCATGGTCGCTGACATGCGTGCATTTGCTAATGATCGTTTGAAAGCTTCCCCCAGAAAGAAGGAAGGTGGGGGTTGAAGAATTTGGAGAAGTCGTTTTTTGGTTGGTCGCAATCTTTAACTTTCTTCTCTGGCAGATGCTTATTCAGGGCGCAGGGGAGCCGATAGTCCGATAGAGCGATTCCAACGCTATATGGTGGATGAGGTATTGTGGCCCTGGCTATCTCCCTCAGAACTTCGTGAGTTGGCGTTGCAATGTGAGGTCTAGCGTGCATTCGGAGAAAGGAAAATCTGTGACGTTTCTGACGATTCCATCGCAGCCCCGAAACCAGCCTAGGGCGCTATTCCACGCTGACTTTACAATCCTTGTCTTCATACATTGAAGTGGTTCCCAAACCAATCCACCTAGCGAATCCAACAAAACGAGAACGATATTCTTAGAAAGCGGAGTTTAGGCTTTGGTTGAGCTGCTGCTTCCTGGCTGCGAGGTAGCCATCAGACGTGCCGCATGTTGTTGTCGCAGTGGACTCATGACTCATTTCCACTGGTGACCGATCAGGGGAGGCGATATCACCTAAATGCGTAGGATAATGATGGGAGGGCATTTTTAGCAAGTTCGTCCACTGACGTTTGGTGTCCGTAGTCTCATACTGCACGACATAGCGATTATTTCACGCCTAAGGTTACGGTGATGGATTGGATCCGTGTTGAACTTTCGTTCTTGTCAGTCACTATTATTATTATATTGACTATTATATTGACCTATTTTTATTGCTAGTTGATCAATCCGTTACGTGCTTGCGTTTCCATGCTGTTAAGGCTCTTGAAGCATACTTCAACGTACTAACGTATTTCGCAATGAAACGGTTGTAAACGAAAGAACTTTGAAATTGAATGGAAATGAGACAGAATGACTGAGAAACCAATAGTTTAATGATGTGGACGGCACAGCAGGGTGGGGCAATTGCGGCCTGTGCGCTCCAATGCCAATGCGATCCCACCAAATGCCCGCCTCCCGTACAAATGGCAATGACATTGGCCCAGGTGATTTTTTTGCTGTTATGCAGTACGTTTCATAATTATAAGGTCACCCTGAAATGTTGCACTCCTGGAAAAAGCAGCAGAATGGGGATTTCCATAGTATTACCAGCCGATTCCCCACTGTGAACCAAATCTGTGTCGCAGTTTTGGCGAGAGAACTTTCCTTCCAACTTTTCTCAATTATTTTTTGCCTTTTGCACCGTTCATGATTATGAGGTCACCCTATGAAAAAGAATGTTACATTATCAGAAACAATAAACCTGACTGTTAAACTGCATATTTGTTAAGCCGAACTTCGAAAATGTTTCGTACTCGTGTTCTGACGAAAAGGCTAGGTGTCTGTATTTCGTTGTGCTAGGCACGCTTCGTGAGCCTTTGCATACCATTCTCCAAATTTTCTACAAGTTCCGTATCCACAAAAGTTTTCCATAAATGATCAGAGAAGAGTTATGAGGGTTATTCCAAACAGTACCTCCTCTTGAAATATGCTTCTATCATAAAAAGTATGAAATGGAGAACGGTGAAAAGCAGCAACAAGCTTACTGGCCATCACGAGGAGACACAACTTCAACGCGTGAAGTTCAACTTAGAAAGAGATCGAACAAAGTTGGGCCTGTGCCATAATCGCACCACACAGCTAGATAACTTCAGTAAGGTTGGTATTTTTCGGATCAAAGTGCTTTATATGAATAAATTTGTGGACATAAATAATTTTGCCGAGGATAGCGAAGGTGGACAATTCAGTTCAGCTCTCGCAATTTCAGTAAAGGAGATATGATAGGTATGGGTGCTTTGAATGATGTTGCGTCGAAATTTCGCTTCCATGACCGCATAATAAACTCCAGGGATTAGCGTAGCCTCGCAGGGACATCTGATCTCTCGTTAGAGCCAACGAGTGGGCTATCCTAGGTATTCTTACAAAGTACTACAGATACTCTGCTAAGTCACTAGAAGCAGCATCACCCTGAAAATCCACATGATATCCCGACGTTCTGGTCGTATTTCAGTAGAATATCATAAGGTACACCTTCGACATGGTGAATCACGTAGATAAACGCCAATTAAGAATTAGACAAGAGCTTATACAAGCAACTCTTAAACACGAAAGTGAATCGATGGTCAGCTGCCTTGAAATCCCAATTGAAGGCTATTTGATGTTGCAATCGATAAAGGAGGAAAAAGTATTTTGCCGATGATCAATCCCGTCCTGGGATGCGGCGCGCATTCTACTTCCATCTGTACATTCGTAGTGGCGTCTGAATGCGATGTGGTTTATACAACGACTTGCGGTGGCCAGCCGATATACAACTCAGTGTTTTTATCCCGTGAGATGCACGACCGGATTCGGTCCTCCGACCGCGCGCGTGGTAAGCGCCACTATACCACTTCGGCCCTCGAAAGGAGAAGCCATAGATAATTCCACTATACCACTTCTGCTCTCAAAAGGAGCAACCATAGATTATTACACCTTTCATGTACGTCATTATTCGTAGACAACTATTCTTTTTTCCCAAGGTGACATTTAATCTTGAAATGGAGCAAAAACCAAAAAAAATGATCATAGAAAAGTTAGAAAAAAACTGCTCCTGCCGAAACCGCGCCATGGGGTTATTTCATAGATAGGAATTAGCTGGTGGAACCAAAACCAATTCCGGTCTGCTGCATTTTCCGGAAATGCTCAAGTTTAGGGTTATCTTATAAATGAAACGCATTGTATATCATTTTATCTCGTCTCTTTCCTTATGCTGTTCCTGTTGTTCCAATGATTCCTATGCCTTTTCTGCTCAGATAACATTTTGCAAACTATCGACCCTACCTCTACACGATCTTAGAATGTGATTTCCATGCAAAGATGCGCATGCAATGAGCATTTTTGTATGTGAAAAATTATATTATATTATTATTTGGTGAAATATTAGGTTGGAACGATTGAAATGTCGTTTTCGATCACCAATTATTTTCATTATAAAAACAATCATGAAGCACATCAATCTGAACCATCTCCTTCACCTGTGTCACATGCTCATCGCCTTTCGCTACGCAAAGTATGGATGCTTAGCGCCCAGAACGCTTTCTGGTTCTACTCGAAATAGTTGGGCACTCAAATGTTGACGTCGGCGCAATTATCGAATTGGTTTGCTGCTAAGTAGTGTTGCGCTGACCTGGGTCAGTGGGGTGGCGGAACTCAGAATATAACTGTGTACGGTAAGCCAATCAAGGGGTTACTGTAATGTGCCTCGCCCCCCTCAGACCTGCCTGTGGGGTGACCTCATTTAATTGCTTGCGCTGACCTCTTCCTGACTGAACGCTCATACAGAACATAGATTATGAAACAAAGTTATCAACAAGACATGTATTAGTAACCTCCTTCCTCACCACCGGGACTGCTTCTAGTGGGTTGAAGGCTGTCGGGAAACTATAACTCCCTTTAAAACTGCCGTGGAGAAAGTGTGGCGGGGTGCATAATAATATGTAGAAAAACAACAAATGCTTCATTTTATTTATTTCACGCTTTTTTTGGAGCTTACCACGAAATCGCTAAATTCTTTCAGAAACAATCATCTTCCCACAACCGCGATCTACTCGACTTCCCTCTCCGCTCTTCTTTCAAAGTGACTAAATTAATTTCTATAAACTCCGAATACGACCCCCACTCCCGAAAAAACGTTCCATTTTCTGGCTCGGCTAAACTCGTTTGACTCTGACTCCATCCACGATCCGACCGATAGATAGAAATGGCAATATTTACTGGATGAAGCGTAAGAAGAATATTTGGGTATGAACAAAACTTCCGCACCAGTTGGGACTCAAACCCGCACCTCTCGCTTACCGGCAAGCTACAAAAACGCTACCGGGGCACCGTTTCGCCCGAATCAGCTTTTCATAGTGTATTCACCATAGCTTGCCAGCACTCACACGTATAATGTGTTGAGCCGAGGACAATGATTGCGCGGCTGAAAGGTTTAGCAATAAATTTTGACTAGTTTTGTTCTCGAATTGTTAGGCGAACTGCGGCCAAAACAGCAGTTAACAAAGCAAAACTGAGATTCTTGTTTGTTACTAGTAGCAAATTCGGTGCTTTGAAAAGATTCAAAACTTTTTAACACCCTAATATTTTGTGCTGCCGCTTGATTTAGTGGATATTTTGGATTTGGATCATGGAATGGAAAGAGTGAGAACATCGCACAAACTCTAATAAGGAATTTCGATTTTGACTATGCTCAAATTCTGGATAGTGCTTTCAAGGGTATAGCTTCAGGGGATCAAATGTTTTAGCATTCGTTATTATGATGTATTGGTGATCAATATTCTGTTTGGGCGAAAAGTCAGAAGGAATCGGCGCAAACAATTCAATGAGGTCACCCCGGGTTTGTAGCAACAGAATCGTCCGGAGCCCCGCGCTTGTGGTCGCGGCCGCGACGTTGCGACTGTAGTGGACGAGTTGAGCGCCATTCGACTTCTCGAAGGGGCTACCCCGACTTCCCCTTTAACATAGGCTCGTAACATGGCCTGCGGAAGCCATCTGAAGCGGGTAGGGAAATGTGCTTAATCAGTCAATGCGGCTGAGTCACTGTCTTGGTTTTTGAATGATTCCATAACGAAACTTGCATTACCGGAGTATGTTGACCAACTCGAAATACCGTTTTTGGAGACATCTGCTAATGTGAGCAGGTTAGTATTTCACATGAAGATTTTGCATTCCACTTCGGTTTTTTTGTCTAAATCAATATACGTGGACTGATATCCTTCGTAGTGAATCTTCAAACCTTCGCTTGTGTTGTTATTTTTTAAATCTTTTTATGTAACTGCTCAGGGAACCTTTTATTGTTGAAGATTTGTTTTCTACCAACGTTTGTCGAATACTTAGCCGATGTCTCCAAAAGCGGTAATCAGTTGGTCGTGTCAGTTGGTCAGAATACTCCTGTAATGCAAGTTTCGTTACGTAACCATACAAAAAGAAAGACGATGAAATATGACTAGACGTTATTGAACGACTCCTGAAGAGTTCGATCTTTTCGTACAAACGAAAAAAAACACCACTCCAAAGAATCAAATGTCATACAAATATCTAAACTTAAAACAAAATATTTTATTTACACCACGGGCGCCGTCTCCTCCACCCTCGCGCACCTGAAATTTCAATTAAACTATTCATCATCCCTTAGACCGCACGAGCCGTCAGCAATGAAGCGCGGCCTAAAAATAAGAAGAAAACAAAACGCTAAAGCTCACGCCCAGCGCGCAAAAGGCTTAATGTGGACGGCAGCAAATTATGTCGCTTCCAATCGACAAAGTCTACTGTTGCCGCCCATCGGAAAAGTGCCGCGTCACGGCGCCGCGCAAGTGGCCGCGCGCGGCGGCGCCCGTCCCAGACGATTCTGTTGCACGCTCCCCGGTCACCCCACAGGCAGGTCTAAGGAGGGCGAGGCATTTGCAGTGACACCTCAACTGACTTACCATATACAGCTATATTCTAAGTTCACACACCCGGGTCAGTGGTGTCGGACGGCACCAGACCTGGGCTAGATGGCGCGAGAGACAGAGTGTCCCAGCCCAACTCCTCGATTTCTTGTTGCGAGATTTTCGCGACATGTGGTCTTGCATTATCAAGCTATAATTTTTCATTTGCCGCATTTAGCTTTTGACGACCGGAGCTCGGCCCACATGGTGGAGCTATTATACGCAGGGCTCAGCTGTAACTGTATAACCTACAATCAGCATCCCGTGATACTCAGTTGCTATACTACGTCACCATATAAAAACATGACTTTTTCCGTGGATGTCTGGCTTCGAAGTCATCCTCAGCTGTCCATCAGCCGCCAACCTCGGTCGTATTCTCGCAATGTTACTGAGAAACATCCCTTTGTAAAATGCGGTCAATATGAAGTCAAGAACCTTTTTCCTCTTTAAGTTATGGAGCGAAGTTCCAGTATTGGCAATCAGTACTGCGTGCTCGCGTCGCTCAGATTAGGCCGAACCCATTTTCTATGCTGAAAGGCCTTAACAGTCGCACGTAGGAACTTTTAAATTTTTCTGCTGACAAAACTGAATCTCCACGCAAGTTTTGTGTGGTTTGCCGAGGACTCAACTCGTTGGCTTTATTTCTCCGTTAGGGCTAGAGGTCAAAATCCACGATATTCGTAGCCAGGTTCTTTACCTCAGTCTCGGAAGAGCTGAAAGAGTAGCTGGGAGTGCATCAGAGACTGAGCGTTGCCACTGAATGTTTTGCACACAGCGAGATTCGTTGTCCGTTTTCCCTTGCTTGAAAACGCAAGAGACGATAACTTCTGATCAGTCACTTTCAAGCAAAAGTTTTGGCTCGAAGAGCATCCACTCAGTGGCGCTCAAGATTTCACAATATGCGTGCTGCTTCGCTCTCTCGAATGAATGGTCTCCCTTCCTAAGAAATTGTGCTTGAGCTGTGAAACAAAGGCACAAACGGAAGCGACATTTCAATCGTTCCAACCTAATATTAGAGCGAGTGAATGCTTGCAATGGGATCCTTCTTATCTTTCTAACTCACTAAATCACGCTCAACTCACTCCTCAAGAAGTCTTCCACTGAGTAGCGAAAACAACATGGATTTAAGTTCGAAAGGGCTTATGGTCATCAAGTTTTCTGCGGCATCTGCTGCAGAAAGGTTTCTGATCCGCGCCAATTCGGATGCCAAAACCTACAAATGGAAGAAGGTGATTGTTTCAATTGTTTTCCATTAGAGAGATTGTCACCTGTATAATGAGTCCAATTCGTAATCTAAACATTTCAACGAAGAGTTTTGGCTCTGTTCTTACAAGAGATCCAAGCGCAACGATCAGTTCCTTAACGGAGAAATGAAATGTTAATATGTCCATATTATTTCACAAACGCACGTACCTGACTCAGAGTAAAAGCGTTTGGATCATCGGAGTAAGCTCGATGCATGATTTCTTTGAGCTCCTCGTTCGTCTTAGGACTCGTGATAGCCTCCTCCTTTTTTGATGGCAAGCCAACCTTAAGAGAAGAAAGCATTCTAAATGCAAGGAACTCATTAAGCTTGGAGGAAAGCAATATGAAATGTCAGTGGGAGTGAAGCATGTTATGCAGAAGTTAAGCCATCGTCAGACATTGCGAATCTGTGGATTCGCTACTTCATCTACAATACATATCAGGTCATCACGGCTAAATAGGTAAATCAAGTATCTTTCAAGGAACTATCCAGTAAGGTTGGTTTCCCACCCTTTATCTCGTTTCGGGAAGTTTATTCCATACATGGGACTTTGCATACTGCGTCTAGTGATTACGCAGAAGTATCAGCGTGAGGAACAACAACAAAATTAACAATTTTTCGAGAACTGCACGATTTCTCCAACAAAAAAAATACTTGCAACCTTGATAATTCTTTCAGGTTTCCGGTTCTAAACTATTCTGTTGATTGTCTGCTTCATTTCTACCGATCTCTCGCTCCGCCGCACGAGGCCGGAATGAGTTTTGGTCGGGCAACAGTGCGCCCTTCCTCACCACCTGTTATAGTTGATTCGCTCGCTTCTCTAGAGGAGAGAATTCCCTCAATGATGCTCCTTGTAAAGGATGCCCGCGTTCTTTTGAGACCGACACTGTTCTAGCTTCCGCTCGGAGCTCCTTCTCAGCGTCTGAGGGAAAGGAAAGGGCGACTGCTGGTTCCCGTTCCACCATCCACAGGATTCTGCGCCAAAGTCGCGGTCGCGTTCGCGCAGCGCTTCCTAGAGTTTCCCCCGCTTCTTTACTGAACACAAGCGTCAGGTGCAAGTCGATGTGTGCCAGAATCTTCCACACCGTAAGATGACGTAACGATGACGTGGACGGAATTTATTACCGCGCAGGACGAAAAGTGAATATCGTATGAAGGTCCACACAGGAAATTGCAGTAGACTACCAGTAGACGTGAAACCCCAACCAGTTCCAAAGCGAGGACGTCACGCCAGAAAGGAGATGATGTCATTCTTCTTTCGCTCCACCGACAGCGTATGATACGAGATTGTGCCTGAGAGTACTGTGGTGACGGCGTATTCTGTGAACAATTGCGAGAGACGATGTTTCGAGCCCCAAATGCACAAGGACAGGGAAGTTTCTCACTGTGGTGGACAATGCTCGACCACACCACGCGAAGACGACTGCGGAAGTGCTGGAAAGACTTGGTATCACCTAGTTGCCCCACATTCCATATTCACCACCTGACCTTAGCCATTGCGAACACCATGCTTTCAGAGGCCTGTAAACCTACACTAGAGGGAAAAAATTCAACAGCAGTCAGGAGGCCAAGCGTGCTGTGGATGAATGGATCGCGTCACGGCCCTCTTCCTTCTGGAAGAGGGCATCAATACTCCGCCTAATCGATGGAGGGTCGTGGCCAAAGAGGACCACTATCTTGATGATTGATCTCACGTTTTTGTGGTAGTAATTTTGTGTTGAATAAACCGAGAAGTTTCGAGATACCCTAATAAGAAGTGATGAAAAAGTTGCAGGTATTTGACAAGTTCATCAGAGAAACACAAGGCGATCGAAGAACTAAAAAAGTAAAAAACCTAGTGTATCAGAAAAGAGGAAACGAACAGTTATTTGCTTCTGACGAACAAGGAGATGGGTGACAGCTTTTCCCAGTTCTTCAAGACGCTTGTTCAGGAGTCCTGCTGTCAAACGAACCAACGCCCAGAGACGGCATTCGCACGACTGCAACTATGACTTGTTATGCGAGAGTGAAACGTTTCGTTTATCATTACCGAATCAAATCAAAAGGTGGGAAATAAATAAGGGAAAGAATTACGAATACACAAGCCAGTGCATTCTGTATATTAAAATTAACCTTGGTGTAAACCTCCTCCATTAGCATCTTCACCGTCACATATTGATCATTGATTCCAGTATCATAGTCTGGTCCGCTAAACATTTCATACTGAAGTTGTGTTTTTTTTTTGCAAAAACGGTCACGAATTCTCCGATGTATATAGATATAATATATATATATATTATATATATATATATACGCTAAGTAGCGGTCAAAAGTGTTTTCGCCGAACAATTTTTGCTTCCCTTTTTCGCTAGAAAAACATCAATGTGCCTCGGGATTTTTTCTTTTAACTATCTGATTCTTTGAACTGCAGGATATAAAAAACACTAAAAATCACACTGTATCGATTTTCGGAGGCGCGTTGCTCAAGCAGAAAAATGGCACTTAAAATCGTTTTGCCGAACAGTTTGACCGCTACTGATGTCACATACATTATATATATATATGTATAGTATAATATATATATATATATACATTCA